TAGCAAGACAAACTTCAAACCAGACAGACTAGCCCAACACATGCTATTTTCTGTGTGCAGTTAAAGTCCTTCTAAAGTGGAAACTTTTTGTGAATTTCGAGGTCCTGACTTCTTGCCACAGAATTCCGTTTCTTTTAGCTTCCCTTAATTCTTCCAGGGCAATTAGGGAAAGCATCGCTATGGTAAAGAGACTGAAGGTGGATACATAAAGACAACCACTTGGGAATGAATTAAAATGGATTTGCAAAGGCACGCAGAAAGATGCTGTTTTCTCAAAGCCCATTTACTGTAAATGGGGAGACACCTATACATAAACGAAAGCACAAAGCCAAGCTTAGATGCAGCCTTACTGTTCTTAGCTCCTTCACATTCTGCTTTTATTTGCTATGCTTGGAAGTACAGACATCAAGCATTCTCAGTAAACGACGGTAGTGTATGCTGCAGCTCTAAGCTCCATAACAATTTTTCATAAGCGGTTTTCCTTACCATGGCTGTGCCAGCACCCTTACCGACTCATTGTGACGTTGCTGTGTGTGCAGGTTGCCCAGGCCTATCGAAAAGAACATGCCATCTTACCTCATCCACACATGGTGGAAACCTGACTGAGGACTCCTGTTTTGTTTGGCTGGGCTCCTACTCTTGGGTGAACTGATCTTTGCTTGAGAGCTGAGGCTGTGTGTCTGCTGAGATTGGCCACTCTGGGAAGTTAAATTTCACGATCTGGTTGGAAGATTTTCCTCCTTTCAACAATCTGATCAGTATTCATTCATGTAAAGGTTTGAAAACTCAGTTCCCTTCCCACAACTGCACAAGTGTCTGTCCTGTCCTTAAGCAAAAAGAGTGTGGGCAGTGACCTGTCACTCAGAAGTCTGAGGCTTCCCAGCAGCAAAGTCAGCCTTTTTCTTATGCTTGTTGAAAACACAGGTGCTGAAGTATAATAGAAACCTAGAAACTGTCCTAAAAATAAAACAAAATAAAACTTTGTTTCTGACACGACTTATTTGACAGTAGCATAAATCTTGCAAAAATGATCATGGCAGTAAGGTTGATAGGATCAGAATTTCCAGGTATGTTTAGCATGCAAGCAGAACTGAAGTTTACAGACCTTGGCCCCAAAGCAGCAGGTGGGATAGGTTCAAACTAGCTTCCAAATACAATGGTTCTCTAGTATGAGCAGCGTTACAGGCATAAGGAGCCAAAGGATAACAATTGCTTTTTATTTTTAAAGTAAACATATAATCTTGTAAATAGTTTCAGACTTGTCACTTTGTTGGTTCATTGACCATAAGTACCTTCAATTTACACAGCCTTGATAGTAGGGTATTTTGCAGATATGAGTATGACATTAAACAAGTCTGCCTTGAAACTTTTTAGTTCCACTGTCCAGACAGGAACACAAAATACGGTAGCTGTAGTTAATGTGACTGCTGTTGGGCAGCCATCTCCTGAGTACAAACGACGCTATGTTCTCTGTTAATGGAGTTCTGAGGAGGCAAAAGGCCTTCCTGAATAATTTCATGAACCTCGAATGTCCCCAGTAGTGTAGGATTATCAAGAAGTGGAGTATCTTCAAATGCAAATTTCATGACATTCCAGCTGCTAGAATAATTACCCTACCTTGGTGGACTAATAATAACTTTGTTAAAGGTTTCATTTAAGGTAATCAAATGTAATGTGCAAGGCATGTGTTAAGATAAACACCATTTCCATTCTAGGACTTGCCAAGGGAAGCTTGTTTCTCCCCTTCCTCCCACACTCTGAATGTCACAGGCGATGAATTGAAATTATTTATGTGGAATGGAGAGGTGAGTGCACAATGTGTGCCTTGCATACTTCAGATGACTCTGTACCCCCACCCCCTTCCCGCTGCTCACACCCTGCCACGGAGCCTGGAGCCTTGCCAGAAGGCTTCAGTGGGGGAGGATACACCTAATCCTGTAGAGACTTGATGTCCCAGGGAAGGGAGATGAGGGGGGGTGTGAGAACTCTGTGAGGGGGAACCAGGATACGAGTAACATTTAGGATATAAATATATAAAATAATAATTATTATTAATAATAATAGAAGAAGTAACTATTCTTTGAAACTTTGAATGGAATGGTCTTTTGAGCTAAAATAATTTCAGTTAATGAATATTTTGAAATCCAAACCCTTCCTTCCTTCTTTCCTTCCTTCCTTTTTCTTTCTTTTAAAATTCCTATAGAAAAACTACATGCAACCTGCAAAGCTTGCAAGGAATCTGTTGGAACTTGGGTGTACTTCAGAGTTTTTTGTGTCTACCTCATCTTTGGCTGCAGAGTGAACACACTGTGGAATCAAACTGAAAAGAGTAACTCAAGGGCATAGAAAACTCTTTAAAAGCAATTTGTTAATAGGAATCAGATGCTGTAGACTGTTCATATTTCATTGAGCCAATATTATTTAGTGAATTTATTCTGTCTCAAATGAGCGACTTACACTTAGATGTATGTACTGCAATTCTGTGTGCAATAAAATAATTGGAAAAACTTAGTTCACCTTCGTTGGGTATTCAGGAAACTAAACCTTGACATAAATATTGAAACATTATGTAGACATTTAAACAAGGCTGGTCAAACCTAGATAGCAATATAGAAATTCATATGACTTGATAAAGCTGGCAAAAGCCTGGAATAAAATTTCTTGTAGTGAAAGAATAAATCTGCAAAGACTAAATAAACACACTGAGAAAATACGTAAAGTTGACCATGGAGGGTCATATTAGGGATCATTAAAAATATCTATTTATTTTGTGTGTGATTATCAATCAAAGATAGCTTCTGGATTAGGGATGAGGCTTGTCCTTAGGATATAAACCACTCTTAGAAGCAATCCCCATGCCTAACAGGAGATGAGCAACATAAAACAAACTCAATGTTTCATAATGCTTGGTCAGGGCATTTTTTATTTATTTAACTTCTAGTTCCCTTGCATATATATTACAGGTTTGTATTTTTATATGATTCCTATGTGTGTGAATGTTGTGCATATCTTTTATGTGTTTCTCATGTTTTTTTCTGAGGCTTTTTTCCCTGTTTGTTCTGTTTTTTTTTTTAAAATTTTGTTTTGGTTTTTATCTTATTTTATTATTAGCCTTTAGCTGCCTGTTTATTTTTCTAACCAGAGACAGAAAGATGTGTGTTTTGATGGGAGAGTAGGTAGAAAGGATCTGGGAGGAGTTGGGGGATGGGAAATCATAATCGGAACTGTATGAAAAATGTTTATTTAATGAGAGAAAAATAGAATATTTTTTTATTATTTTTGAAATTGCTATGTCATGTTTATAAACAGAGCTTGAATTTAGTGTAACATCCAGATGCGGAGCTTCATAGGTCCTGGTATCAAATGGAACCCTTCCTTTTTCTTCTCAAGCTAGCGCTAGATAAATATCCTCATGGTCGTTAAGGAGTTGCAAATAGGAAACCAGATTGGCTGAAGACATATCCTCTAGTCAAGGTTCACATACTGAAAGATATGAAATCCTTGTGGAATTAAAAAATCCAAAGCTAGAAGTATGCTTTTTGAAATTTCTCATGTAATTATAGTGTGCTGTTTCTAGGCAGAAGTAGACCTAGAGCAAATTGTAGGCTTGAGGTGTGCTTATTTCATCTAACTCACTAGACAATATTACTTTATTTGTAATTGTGTATAATATCTGATACATTATGAAATAAGAAAAATAGTTCAATTGATAAATGAGGTTAATTAAATAAACAAGACCAGAGTTGATGTGCCTGGTAAGAATTATCGAACAGATAAATCAGTGTGTTCTCACCAGATAAAGCTTGGACGATCTTGGAACAGTACTGCTTGCTTCTAAGTACAACTTTCAAAATACATTTAAATATTTATGCAAAGCTGATACTGCAAGAAAAGCTAAATAACCCTCTTTTTTTCTGGCTTGCATAGCCAAACATGAAGGAAATTTGGATACAAATTTTGCCCAGATATTTATTTTTAAATCTCTACATCTAACCACTGAAAGTCACGTATTTATCAATAATATATAGGATCACAGATACTTTATGTCTTACAAATGTAATTATTTATGCCTTCATTCTCAAAGCACCTTAAAACCAGGTTTCAATGAAAAGGTTTCCTGTATCATTATTTTAATGTTATCCTTAAAGACAATAAATAAATAAATAAATAAATAAATAAATAAATAAATCTAACATTACTGATTTCTAACAACTTTTATAGATGGAGTTTTCATGATTAGGCTTCTCCTTGGGACAGTGTCAAATTTTCTTCAGTAGGTTTAAAAAAAATCATTATTTTCCAAGTAAGCCTGTTTGTAGCTTGCTTTAATTTAGATTCACTTGAAGGATTGCTATAAGGACTGACACGGGGCACAACTTTCACTTACACTACTTCCAAACCAACCAAACACTAGGCTTTGTGCACGGAAGGTGAACAGTACACATTACTTTCCAAGGCAGATGACTCTAGTTTAATTGTATTCAGGAAAGAAATAAAAATAACCTTATCACAATCCCCTTGAATATTAATTTGAATTTTAGATTCTATTTTCTGAGATTGTATTTGCTGAGTTGGTTCCATGGGCCTACTACGATCGATACTAGAGATGAGAATTGTCATTAAATGTTTTATAACAATAAGCAAGATGCATCATCTCTCCTATTTTGTTAATATGAATTGCACTTAAAACTGTATAATAACGTGAAAACTATTAGATTATCATTTCTAATAATCATTTATTCAATCAAATAATCAATCATCAAGCATTTTTTAATGTTGAAATTAGACAGTATGAGCTTTTAAAATCATTATATGGGTTTGAATTTCCTATTCATTTACATTTTCTCCTGAGATAGGGTCTCCCTAAGTTACCCTGGCTGGTCTCAAAGTTTTGATTCTTCTGCCTCAGTCTTCTGAGGTGTTAGGATTACAGGCACATACTACTGAGACTGGATTTAGAAAAGGAAGTTTAAAACTAAACGAACATTTAAATAACTTACCTTTGATACCTTCAACTTGGAGAAAAATCCAAAAAACAAAGATAGCACGTTTAATTTGAAAATTCATTCTGGTTCTGTGTACTGAAAAAAAGAGAACACAGAACAATACCAAGTCACATTTAAAGAAATAAAATGCCTGAAATATGAAAAATAATTAAATCTAGGTGCCGGCAGAGAACAGATGACCTCCCTGGTTTACCCTATGAAGGTGCTAATTCTTGAGGATCCTGAAGCAGTTCTGTCTCTGGAATAATCTGCTTATCTTCCCCTCGGGAGTAATCTCTGTTTAGGGGCCAGCTGGAGTAACCCTTATCTTATTAACCTCTGGAGGAACATTTGTCAGCCTGTTCCAAGGACCCTGAAAGCCAGTGTTTTCAGACAGACTCCCTTCTCACTTACCTGTTACAGTGACACAGAGAGCTGGTGCAAGTCCTTCCACAGGCAGGAGAGGCTGACAGTTGAGGCTTTAAAAGGACTTGTCTAAGGAACACCCACTGAGGGCTTCATTGCTATTCCTGGAGTGTAGGGAATACACTGTTCTCCACAGGTAGCAGAGCTATCTGTCTCTATCCTCTCCTAGAACTGCTTTCTAGAATTTTCTGTCTAGTGTTACATACAGGTGATTTTTTCATTTAATTTTAAATCTGTTATGCACTGAATTGAAGGAATCAACATATTCCTTGAAGGTCTGTGAGGAGTGACCACCTGCCTCATACTGATTTCATTCGTTAAGAAATATTTATTTGTGAGTGTACGTGTATGGCAGGGTGTGTGCAGACAGGTGCAGAAGCCTGTGGGAATGTCAGGTTCCAGAAGCTGGAATGGGTGCTTGTTGTAATAGGTGCTGCCTGACATGGGTGCTGAGAACAGAACTTGTGTCCTCTGGAAGAGCAGCAAGCACTCTTAACCACAGAGCCATCCCTGTGTCCAACAAAGCCTTTCAACTAATTCTTTTTTTTTTATTGGATATTTTATGTATTTACAATACAGATGTCATCCCCTTTCCCCATTTCCCTTCCCTAGAATCCCCATCCCATCCCCCCTCCTCCTTTATGCTTTTATACCATTTTGATTACATGCATGTATTAAGGTCAGTTCTAGGGCTGGAGAGATGGCTCAGCCATTAAAGGCTAGGCTCACAACCAAAAATATAAGGTCAGTTCTAGGTTGAGGGTCTAGCAATACAATAGATGCAAATAGTCAAGGAACAAGCAATTCAATAAACACAAATTGTCAAAGAAAAAGGAAGGCATTAAACCCAATTACGTGAACACTCCTGTGATCACTGTTTCTAAGAGGTTATCAGGATGACCAAAGTATCTGAGCCTACTTCCCTGTCCTAGCCCAAGATCATTTTCATGTCTGAAGCCTACTTCCTTGTTCTAGCCTAAAATTTATATTCCTGTCTGAAATTACTTCTTTGTTCTAGTCTAATATTTAGGCTCTTGCCTGAGACTACTTCTTTGTTCTAGCCTAATGTCAGATTCTTGCCTGAAGCCTACTTCCTTGCCCTTGGCCAATGTCACATTCCTGCCAAGCAGCTCATTTCCTTGTCCCTTGGCCCATGTCAGACACTGCAGATAAAATTACTCATGGCCTGAGGTCAGTATTTCTATTTTGGTCAAGCTTCAAAAATGGCATATATAGCTTGATCATGATAGCCCTTTTTGTTCTGGGAATACTTTTATTCCCACCCATTGTGTTAAAGCTTTTCTTCAATAACATCAACATGTTGGCAGCCAAGTACATGGCTTGAACCTGAAAATGGACCCCCAGACAGAGTTATTAAATTAACAGGCTGGCAAGCCAAGGATGGGTAAGATTCTGCACAGAGCCTTACCAACCTAAGACATAAATGCATTGCTTTTGATAATGCATATCCCACAACAGGTAAGGAAGGCATTCTTGTGAAAATGACCTAAGACAGGCTCAGTCTGGTTTATGCAATAAAAAGGGGGAGATGTGGAGAGCTTTTGGGGCTGCCTGGCAGGAGTCTGACATTGGCCAAGGACAAGGAAATTGGCTGCTTGGAAGGAATCTGACATAGGCCAACAACAAGGAAATGGAATGCAGGCAGGAATCTGACATTAGGCTAGAGGAAAGAAGTAATTTCAGGCAGAAATCTAAATCCTAGGCTAGAACAAAGAAGAAATTTCAGGCAGGAATCTAAATCCTAGGCTAGAACAAAGAAGTAGGCTTTAGGAATGAAAATGACTTTTGGCTGGGACAGGGAAATAGGCTCAGATATTTTGGTTATGCTGATAAGCCCTTAGAAATAGTGGTCGCAGGAGTGATCATGGGACTCTGTTTATTGTTGTGCATGTTCTTTGACTATCTGGGTTTATTGCCTTGCTTGTTCCTTGACTATTTGCATCTGTTTTATTGCTAGTTCATCAACCTAGAGCTGATCTTAATACTTGCATGTAATTTAAACAGTATAAAAGCAAAAAAGGAGGAGAGGGATGGGATAGAGGGTTAATGGGGGGGATGGGGAAGGGGATAACATCTGAAATGTAAATAAAACATTGAATTAAAAAAAGAAAGTCAAACATCAGTATTTTCTTTTATATGTGGCATTTAAACACAAAATTGTGTACAGTATGTTGGTAGGAGGAGTGTGTGTGTATGTGTGTGTGTGTGTTTATGAGAAGTGGCACTGTTAGAAGGTATGGCCTTGTTAAAATAGGTGTGACCATGTTGGAGGAAGTGTGTCAATGTATAGGTGGGCTTGATGTCCCCTAGGCTCTAGCTCTGCCCTTTGCAGAAGAGACCCTCTTGGCTGTCTTCTGAAAACACAGTAGCCTCCTTTTGCCTGCCTTTGGATCAAGAAATAGAACTCTCAGTTCCTTCTCCAGCACCATGTCTGCCAGGATGCCATCATGCATCCCTCCATGATGATAATGGACAGAACCTCTGAACCTGTAAGCCAGCCCTAATTAAGTATTCTTTATAAAAGTAGTCTTGGTCATGGTGTCTCTTCACAGCGATGAAACTCTAACTAAGGCAAAGTGTCTAGCTAGCATCTGTTGGCTGGAATCAATTTAAAAGATGCTGAATTGATGATGTTACTCCTTATCTCTGTGTGCATTGTTAGTTTTAGATTGTATACTGGGGTAAGCATCCAGTTCCATAGTACTAAGTCACACACAGATGAATCAAAAACTTCCTGGTAAGACTAAGCAGTTTAAATCTTGTGCTGTTATTCTGTCTCTGTCCGTATCTCTGTCTCACTCTCTGTGTATTTCTCTCTCTTCTTTTTTTCTCTTCTATCATTTTTTCTTTCTCCTTTTCTCTTCTCTCTCTCCTCTCCTTATCTATCCTTCTCATTTCCTTTCTCTCTCCCTCCTTCTCTCTCTTCCTTTAGTCCTCCCATAAACATACAACTTACCCAGCATCCCCTGGTCCCCTGCTCTGCTGCTTTACACTCTTAAAAAACAGAAATGTGCTTTTCCCTAAATAGCTTAGCAATATTCTCTCTCCCCCCTCCCTCCCTCCCTCTCTCCCTCCCTCCCTCCCTCTCCCTCTCCCTCTCCCTCTCCCTCTCCCTCTCCCTCTCCCTCTCCCTCTCCCTCTCCCTCTCCCTCTCCCTCTCTCTCTCTTTTCTTCTCTCATCACCACCAGACTGTGGGTTTTAAAAATCTTATTTACCACCCCCTTTTCACTACTAAATTATTCTTCAATCTACTGTAAACAGTTCCATCGTCCTGTGAAATGGGCTCTGAAGGACATGAACTCCTCTCTGTCACAAATCCAAGAGTATTTCCTCATTTGTGGGGAGCAAGGGGGCTTATGGTATGTGAGGCAGGTGGGAGATCAAAACCAGGGCCCCATGAATGCTAAGCAAGTGTTCTACTACTGAATCACACCCAGCCAAGCACTTACTTTCTCTCAGCAGCCATTGCTAAGCTGACCATCCATTGCATCATTACAACTGAGTTTTAATGTCAATAAAATTCAAGTTCCTGATGAAACTCTCCGTGCTTAGAATATGCATTATTTATCATGACCTTTTGAATCACATATAGAAGGCATCATAGGTAACCTGCTAACATCTTATTGATCCTCTTAGCACTTTTTAAAAAACTTGTTTGTCCATCTTTCTAAGAATAGCTATGTTTATACTGAAGTCATGATATGTCTTACTAAAGGCTTGAAAAGGAATGGGAAGCAAGATGGGGGGAAAGCCTCAATGCTCACAACCCTGTAAGGATGAGTGGCCTGTTTGCCTCCACAAAGAGAAGATCATTAAGCAGTTCCGTACCAGGATAAACAAGACTTCTCTGAGAATGTAAAGGCTGGAAGAAGATGCTGGACTCACATCATCAGCACATCAGCACCACCAAAGCTGCCATATTACAGCCCTACAGTTACCTCCCCTACTACTGCCTTAATACAGTCAGAGTTTGGCAGAATATATTTTTGACCTTTCCTCTCTTCATACTTGAAATATTCCTTTCTACTTAATTCTTCAGCTGATAGTTTGAATGGATGGATTCAGATAGGGCACTCAGAGACTGGAAGCCTCCTGCTGACATTCCAAACAGGGTGGCCTTGTGTGTTTCTTTCTGTATGTCTCTCCCCTCCAGAGACCTGAGTAATAATGCAAAGAAAAACCTCTGAGCTACACAGAGTAAATGTTGTCTTAACAAGGACATCAAGAATTCAGTCCAGAGGTACAGTTGATGACATTGGATTTGTCAGAGGTCATATTCATTCCAGATGACACATGTAATCTCTGGGCACAGACCACCTATCTCTCTGAGGAATAGTTCCTTCTAGGAATACCTTTTCTATTCCTCATTAGTCGCACATTTTTCTGATCATGGAAGTACTGCAAGAATCCGTTCTACCTTTCTGAAACAGAAGAACAAAGCAATAGTCAACATATGTAGACAAAGAGAAACTGAGGCCAGAGTAGTCCTTCCACCTAAGAGAAAATAGCACGGTTTCAGAGACATAAACATCACAGATCCTTACAGAGCTACCCTGCCTATGATCAATGCAATGTGAAGAAACAACTAACACTAACTGGGAACTTCAGGTGTGTGATCCTGCATTCTGGATGGCTCCGATCTTGCTCTGTGTCACTCATTTGTCCAGTGTGTGAGTCAAGTTGTTTTCTCAGAAAGCTATCCCTATAGCAGGAGCAGACTGGGGAACAGCAAAGACAAT